TAGTAGGTGCATAGATAATAAAATTACCAGCGCTTCCGGCCTTAGTATTGCTGAAAGCCCAAAAATAGCTAGTCCTGCCCCCCCCAAAAAAAATACATGCCTTCTTTAGGATTTGAACTCGGGCCCTTCCCTACAGAAGTCACTAACCACTTATAAATAGAAGACGGATGCATAAAAAAGAAGAGACTTGCAGACGGACTAAGTTTAAATAATATTTCCTATGTTAAACATTCTGTGGCCACAAATATCCTGGCACACTACTATTGCCTGTTGCAGAACATAACATACACATTTTTGAGATAGCTGCAATAAGAAAGCAATGCAGCATTAGTCTAGCTAGGGCTAGCTGCGATGTGCTCAGGACAAAAATCTTAAATGAGCCATTCGTGACCCAAGCTTCCAGTGTTTAGGCCCACATTTTGAATACTCATGAATTATTAGACTTATTGTACATTCCATATCAGCAGTGATTTCATGATAGGAAAAGGCTCCTCCTTATATGCTAATGATTTGTCCCCATTCAAAAATAGTATTTTATTCATATTGGGCCTTTATTATCAATGACACATACTGATATCTCATGAACAAACAAATACTACTTTTAGTGCTGTGCTACAACCCTCAATTTACATGACTAAAATGACAGTCCAGAAGGACTTGCTGAGCCTAAACATGTGTTATAATTAAGATTCTAATCAGTGCCATATCCTACCCTGTTTTGTATTTCTTGCAAATTTCATTTCATTTACACAATTCAATTATAATGTTGGCAATTTTTATAAAAACGAGTATATGTTCTAAACCTTTAGTGATCAGTTAATGAATCAGAGCTTTAATACAGATATAACAAAAATATGTTAAGAAATGAATCTACCTGTTTTAAAAATATTTGAAGTACAAAACATGAAATTAATTTAGAATCATATGCATCTGACACCAGCAAATAACAAACAGTAAAAAAAAAAAAAAAAAAAAAAAAGAAGGGGGGGGGACTTTTATGTAACTGAGAAATATTTTACAATGAATAAAAAATTTCTCTTACTAGATCAAAAAATATTTATTATACAAAATATTCTATACAATTTTATCTGTACAATTACTTTTGTTTGTAATTGCTTTGAACCAAAGTAGGAAAACAATTTCTTATTAGGTTACTTTTATGGTAACATACTGCACGATTTCGATTAATGAAAGTCTTTAGAAAATAGTGATTACTGATGCCATGTTGTCCATCTTTATATCACATCACAGAATTTATTCAGTGCATTGCATAATGGCCAGAAAATGTTGCTAAAATGATATACAGACACGTCATTTTATGTTAATTATTGTCATCTTTTTCTGACAGCACATCAGTTCTTTTCATATAATTTCAGAAGTAATTAATCACTGCAGAAAGAATGTTAATATTCCCACAAATCAAGGTGTCACATATAATGAACATTCTTCAGAAGTATCATGTACCTAAAATTTAATGCCAGAAATTTTATTTTTATTTCCATACAAGAAAGAGAATATTTTTTATATTAAAAAATAAAATACATTTTTACCTTTCTTTGATTCTTTTTCTTCCTCTGCAGTCAAATCAGCGCGGAAAAATATGCGAGCACTGCTCAAAGAATAATTTAACAAATCAAATTCCTAAAAGAGGTAAAAAATATTAACATATGATTGTCATGCTATAGACAAAGATAGTGTGAAAACTGTACCCCTTTAAATGATCTTCATATTCAAAGAAGTGCACTTTAAATGTGTTCCAGAGTTCAACTTCTATATAATTCTACGTATATTCTGTTCTCTTAATGTCTTTACATAATAATAAAATTTTGCATGGACTACTAATTATAACAAAAATTCCAAACTTGTGCTTTGCTTTTGTATGATTACAGCAAAAATGATTTTAATTAAGTGGAGTAATATTTCGAGAAAATCTTTGAAATTAAATTAGTTGTTTCTACTATGATTTTCTGCATAAAAATAAAAAAATATTCCCGAGTACTGCACAGAAAAAAAATAAAATTTATTGAAAGCATATGGTTTAGTAACTTTAAGATATCAAAATGCTCTTCGGAAAAGATTAAACTGAGATATATAATTTCTTTCAAAGTAATCTGTCAAGCAATATCTGTTGACATAAACAAGTTACAAGCTGGAGGGAAAAATATAGATATATCACTGAAATTTATGAAATCTATGGACTAAATGGCATTTTTAGGTTAGATAAAATTAGATGGTAGTTTGAGGTTTTAATTAAAAAATAATTAAATAAAAGGGAAACGTGCAATAGCAGCAAAACTTCTAAGCAGTGGCTCACTCTTTTGCTTTTTGAGAGAATTTTCAAATGTGGATGAGTACATAATGCATTAGTGTCCAAAATTAACTTCATGTAAATAAGGATAATATTTCGTGAGTTCAAGCTGCTGTATTTTTTCATAGAAAGAGAGAGAAAATATTATTACTTAAGCCAATTTAATCAACCTGTATCCATAAGGGCAAATAACAGCATGAATAAAAATTGGATAAAAAGTAAACTGAATTAATTTCTACTAAATTAAGTTGATCTGGCACAAAATTTTTTCAACAGCAAAAAATGTTACCTTTTCACTCCTGAACAAATGGGGTGTATATTTAATTACACTAGAAATTCATATTTTATTCAAAATTTATGCCAAGCTAAGCTTGCTTTTTTTAACCTAATTTTAAATCCTGCATCGTTTTGTTTCTCTTTTAATCAATGACATTATGTCAAACAATTCACACACACTTTCCCAAAGATAACTTCTGTAATATAAGATTTGATTTCAGTTATCAGATTAAAGCGACTGTTTGAAAATGCCAAATTACTTCATGGAAGAACATTTGAGGTTCTGCATTGTCAGACACTCAAATGTAAAGCAGACAATTAACAGAAGCAGTAAAATGGCTAAATGTTTCAAGACAGTTTCTGATGAAAAATAACTTTCTAGAGACTAGTTTCTGTTCACAGTTCCCTGCTACAACAGAAACTTCTGTATCATAACAAGCTGCACATACAAAGCTTCATCAAAAGCAAATGATTAGTATTTCACAGACATTACAACAAAAGAGGGGTCTCCTAATTTGTGCTGAGAACAACCACAGCTAGAACAATGAGCTTATCTTATCTTCAATGACAGTGTCAAATCTAACATATGATTAAAAATATGTTTCATTTATAAAAAGCTATGAACATAAAATAATCCGATCAAGATGGGATAAATACTGTTATAGCGATGCAGATGTGAAAATGAAAGGATGCGATATGAATTGATATTCTCATCAGCAAATGTTTCACAAATGATCTTTTTCTCGCCAGAAATATCAAAATGAAAGCTTACAACTTCATGAACAGATTTTTAGGGGTCCATGTGAATATCTTTTTTTTTTTTTTTTTTTTTTTTTTAATGGATGATAACCACTCATGTTCAATAAACCTAGTTGAATTTTTTAAAATCAAGTGTACTGAACAAAAAAGTTGATAAAAAAATTCCGTTATTTGAATTATACACAGAGAACCTTACAAGAGATGTTGAGCAGCAATATTTCCCTCATATAGATTTCAGTGCTTTGCATGCCATATTGATGAAGAAAAAGAGTTTTCTTGTTCTAACTGCCTTATTCACAACATGAAATGACATAGTAATATAAAGCTAGGAGTTAGGGAAGATTATGTTCCTTATTTAAAGTCAAAAGTTGGCATTTATTCCCCAGGTATTCTCTTCTTTTTAAACCTTTGTTGTCACATACTATTTCAATTTTATTTGTTTCAAGAGAGTTTTGTGTTTTGCACATTCACATTTAACTTTTCATTTAGTATTTACACAAAATAACAGCTTTCAGTAAATTTTAAGTATTAGAGCACCTAATTGGTGCCACATTATTTTTTTGGGTGGGAGGGAGGTGAATCCCTGACTGAGAAGAGATGCATTGATCAGGGATCGTACACATTTCTGCCAACGGAAATTAAGTACTTTTAAAAACCATTAATGCAAAAAAAAAAAAAAAAAAAAAAAAATTAGGGACCTATGAGCAAATGGGAACTGAATAAATTCAATTAAACAAATTATCTATGCCTGAACTTCACTTTTGTAATACCATCCAAAAAATTAAATAGATCCGTAATTAGGATGCATTATTATTAAACATAACTAATTTAACATAATTATTAATAAGTTTGAGAATAAAATATACTTTATGAAATTTATCAAACAGCATTAAATATTTTACACTTATAATAGTTCACCATATTTAAAAAAAGATAAGTAACATTTTATTTACGTTTTACTAACAGTTAGTTTTCAGTTGATTTTTTTTTTTTTTTTTCATGTCTCATTTTGTCACATACTTGCTCAGTCTAGATGTTTAGTAAATAGCAATAGATTTTTATGTCAAGCAGCATAGGTTAACCCTTTGAAGGGCACCAGTATATAATATAAATTAATATACCTCTTTGCAAGGTATCATGTTGGAAGATTCATAAATTCTATTGGAGGGAAAGAAAAAATTCAAAATCTGCAAATATATGACGTACACATGCTGAATCTTATATATTTACTTCATTTTTGTCAGCGTTGATAATTAACAGAAGATTATTTATACGATTTTAAAACCGGTATATAATATATACCGGCGCCCACACTGAGGGTAACACGCCAATAGATGGCAGCACCAGTTTTCTCCTTTTCTACTCTGTGACATGACAGAATTTCTTTATTATTATAACAGTTTATGATGTAATAATTTTTCATGATTAATTTATAAATCGTTTGGGATTCAATATTATGTTCATGGAGGAATGGGGAGTTTACTGACTCTGCGCTAGGACTGAATACAAGTATATTAGTTTAATTATTTTTGTGTACTCAGCTCGAGTTTCATTCGTCTGTGTTTAGATAAATTTTTTATTTCAGCACTTATTCCTTTCCCGGGAGAAAAGACTCATCGATTTCAAAATTACCATCTGGGGTTCAAAATTTTACACAATTGTGGGGGTTAAATGTGGCATGTTAGCCCCCAAAAGATACCAGTTGCTTCGTGTTTTCCAAAATCCTAGAATGCAAGGAAAATGAAAAAGAGGTGACTGACAACTAATTTGTCATTCGGGAGTCACGCCTTCTTCCCTTTGTGAGGTGTGATAAGATCACACAAAGGGAAAGCTCACTTAAAATGGAAATGTACATCTCATAGTGTAATCACAAAAACTCCTGGTTTGAAAGCTTTTATTCTTAATTCTTTTTAATTCTTCGTTAATTTCAGATGAAAGACTAGAGAACACAAGAGAAATTTGCGCTCTGGTTGATACAAATAGGTTGTTTCCGAAATAAAATTTTCACAGTTAGTGAAGGAGGGGAAAAATATTTCTGAGGCCCGTTTTAGATGCAAACTAAAATGTAGCCAAAAGTTTTTTAAAAGGAGCCCCTATGAAGCCACAGGGATTGAAAATCAGAATAAGAGCTTTGAGGTGTATCAAATAATAAAATTGTTTAACGGCATTTCTTCCTTTTTAAAAAAAAAAAAAAAAAAAAAAAAAAAAAAGATATATTACAAACTATACAAAAAATAAAAAAGGGACCCTTATGGTCCTCGATGATCTAAAGTGTGTGTGCGTGGAGGGGGGGGATGATTCTTCGTATACTGTATGAAGCATGGTTTTGTTCACATATTATCTAAAGCATAAAATACAACTTCAAAAATGCAACATACTTTCTCAGCTGAGTCGGTCGTAGTGCTTCTTTTTCAATTTTTTTAATTTTCGGCTGAGTTATCATCTGCTTGTAATATTATACTAGTTCAGTTACAGCATGATATGATTTACACATGCAGTGTTATATTTGCTAAATTTTTTTATAAAATAATATTGAATTTAAATCAAGTTGAAAAGCTTTTTAACCATATTTTACATAAGTATGTTCAGCTGGTTGCATCATCAAATTGCATAAAAACATAAATTTTATTTTTAAAATTTTTAAATTTCTGCCGAAATTTAAAAAAAAAATTGTCTTTAGACTTACACAACTATATTCAAGCACTCATCACTACAGATGCACATCAAAAGAAGGCAAAATTAATTTTAAAAACAAAGATTAACAGTTGGCAGCTACCTAGAAAAAAATGTCCTAGAGGGGCGCCAGTATAAAATATAGGCTCTCAAAATTCAGGATTTCGCTCTAGATTTTTTTTAAGTCTCAATTTTGTGTCCTTAGGGTCCATAAGTTATAGTTCATGCAAAATTATACCAGTAGTTTAAATTATTTTATATACCGCCCCTCAAAGGGTTAAAATGAGAAGTAAAATCATAATCAGTATGATTCATAACAACAGACTGGCTGTTGTCACCGCCGCTGCTTGCCTAGAAACAGACCTGCTGATCAGAACAAAGCTGAAAGGCCTGATGTAGGCATGGTTATCAAGTTTTGAAAGTTAGTTGGGCCCTGTCTAACACAGTTAGCGTCGTAGCTTCATGTAGAGTCCCAGTTAATATAATTTAAGGTTCCAATAAGCCACTAAAGCACCAGAGGTGCAAAGTTGTTTTGTATTATTTTAGGTCTCACTATATGCGAAGAATAAATTTTACATGAGATTTTATCTTGTGGCAAAGGTAAGGATTAATGAAAGGCAATAAC